TCGGCTGGAAACTGGCAGGTCCTGGGATCGAATCCCGCGAGAGTGGGTTCGTGGATGCGCACTGCTGAGGAGTCCCATAATAGGACGAAACGGCCGTCCAGTGCTTCCAGGTTTTCCATGGTGGTCTAGCTTCAATTGACTCATGATCTCAACTCTATAACCCACGCATTTTCCCAAAATGTATAATGATTGCATATAGATTCTCAAATAATTATTTTATATGCTATTCCAACTTGTGTCCTGAGTTGAAGGAACTTGAGATTTTACAAATACATTCCTCCTTATAAATGAACCTTTATATTAGTGAAGTAAATTGTTTTGCATAGCTGTTAGTAGCTCATCACAAAGCCGGAAATCTTACAGTTACCTACATACCCCATTTATGCATAACAGAACTGAACTATTCAACAATTTTAGAACTGTCATGGTTCTCTGTCATTCATTTTACTATACTACTTTAACTGACCTAAAAAGTCTTAGTCACTTTCAAATCCGCTGCTTTTAATCTAATTATAGTAATAAAAGTACGATTATCTAAACTATTCAAAACAGATCTGTTACCCTATAGTGAACGAGAACACAAGTGGGGACAACCAAATGTATCTTAATACGTTACAGGATGACTTGGTAAATTCTGAGAAACATGCAGGAATACTCCATTTGCAAAATATCCATCAATTGTCTCAGATTTTGTTGTTCCTTCATTTCTGTTACATCCCCTGGTGAATTATGAATGGTAACTCTGAGGACTATTTATGGACCAATGTAATATGTATATTTCCTATTGTATAGTTGTTAAGTAACTAACCTAATCGTATTCGTGTCCTTTTTATCATTAGCTTTATTTTGACCTTTGAACTATTATTATACAATTCTTGAGTTATCATCAGTCTATTGATTACTTTCTCCCACTTTTGGCTAAATCTTGTACAAATGTTATTTTCTATTTTATGGTACGATGTGGTCAGATTTTTTAGTATATAAAACCAATATGTTTGAGAATAATGATTCATATTGCACAGGCTGTTATTGGTGTTCTGGACTTAACTGGCTGGGCTAGGCAGAAAGCAGGACTGACAAGTACTAAAGACTGTTCATACGGCTTTCGTGTATTATTGATTCGATCAATAAATTCACTGCTCTCCAATTGGTGGTCGTATAACGTCATATATTAACTGGGCACTCAAGCAATCGATATAACAACTGGGCAATCAATCGTTATAACAATTTTCATACCAATCATTCTCTTTTCTCGTTATCTTTTCTTCGATTTTGTAAACTTTCCGTTACCAGGCATTTTTCTATTGATTGGTGATACGTTCGACATATACCAGCAGCACACACCACACCTAATGCATTTATGTATATCGTAAACTGTATGTTGTATACGCATTATCAGCTGTTTACATATTTCATCAGTAGGATATTTGTAAATCTAGGAACGTGATTCATTTTTGTATACACAGTTATCACCCACCAAATCGGAAAGACCGAAAACAGCGAACTGAGAATAATATGAATTTATTTTATTTCATTCGATTCTCATCATCTGATGACAGTCTTTGATATTTAAATAATAAGATCAAATTTGGTTACTTCTTTGAAGTAAATTGGACCTACCACTCACGGACTTGCGAAACACCTTTATGAGCACCAAGCTGAATGAAAACTAGTTTCAGATTTACTGTATACCACGTCAACAATTCCTGTAGATGATAAGCACTTAAAACCAACTGAGACTTCTAGAATTCTCTACTACTTATATATGAATGTAATAATATAAAAGTGAGTTTGTCGGATAAAACTTTTCTTGTCTGCGTTAGTCGCTGCTACTGATCAGACGGCGATATTTCGTTACTAAAAATAAAGCGACAGATCCCGTAATAAAAAGACACCAGCTGGCCAACTAACACAACTAGTAATAATCAGATGTTTCTCGCGATTTCGAACATATTTAGTAACATACATTTGACTTTATTTAATATTAAACCTGATTGCTTTAAGTTTTATAAAAAAGACAATGGTGAGGGCTTTCTGGAATTGACTCGAGACAGCATGAATTGAATATTTCTAAAACTTCCCACAGTGTAAATCCTGGTCAACGACCGACAGTTCAATATTAAATATATGCTAATTCACATGTACTTGCTGAATTATTTGCGTAATAAAACAATCATTCACAAAATAAATCGTTTCTCACAAAACATCTCCTTTAATAGGACATTTCGAATACATTTCTACGCCTCTCTGTGAAACCAAGTATTTACATTAACAGAGAAATGAAAGATTTGATTGCAATAGTTGATCAGTCCAAATTCTTTGCATTTCAAGAATACTGCTACAAGTTCAAAATACAGAAAATTAATGCCAACTTGATTACTGGATTACTCAGTTTTGATTAATAAAGTCAAATTCATTCCTGTAACGAAACTTCAAGTGTGTTTTCTAATTGAACTTTTTGCATGACCTCTACCCTCTTTTGATTGGCTGCCATCACTTTTAGTTCGCTAATCCTCTGCATGCTTTCATTGTCGCACATTCTTAGGTGCACAGTTTCAAATTGTTCCGCTGGAATATTAGGTTTTTCCTAAAATTCCTTTTCTTCTTATGTAAACGGTTAATTGTTGTAGAATTGTATACAAGCTACCGATATCGCATTCGCGACAGAACCATTTGTGCTTTAATAGTTCAATCACAACTTAATTCGCAGTTAGAGTTGGCCAACCCAAAACCTTAATATATAGTCACCTTTATCACAACTTAAGAACTAGATAAATAGATTTCATCTAAACCAGAATATCCCATTAGTGGATAATAAGAAACTTTAAATATTAACTAGTTAGGAATTAAAAAATGGATATGCAATAAATATATGGCTGTTCTTTCATTCCCTCTTGGTCTGTAATGTTGTGATAAAAAAATCGAGCGATTCTTTGATCAGTAACTCGTTTTCTAACACCCAGTCCAATTTATCTACAACCGACTTTTTCAAAAACCATAAAACGATCATTTCAGTAGTAGTAGTAGTAGGAACATGTATTTGCTCTTTTTTTTAAAAAAAGTACAAACCATGTGCGCGTAAAATATCATGATCATTTCTATTCTCCTTGAGAAATGCAAAATGTTATAATAGAGGAAAAATAATTAATGAGGATATCATTAAGATTAGATTGTTTCTTAAGTTATATGTATCGGGATTTGGCTAGACAGAGATTCGGACATTGAATAATAATTAGCCACCGTCTTTTTTTGATGATTCTATATATATATATATATATATCTCTATATATATATATGTCAGTATATGACATGGTGTCGTGGTATGAAAGAAAGCTGCAAAGGGCTAGCTTCTGCTGGTACTTCCTGACTCCCTGTCTGGGGTCCAAGAGATGGTGCAAAACAGTGGCTAGAGACGTTATCAAATATGGTTCAGTATAGAAGCCAGTGGCGAGCATGCTGTAACCTACTTTTACTTTCTTCATAAAGAGTGGTTCTAACTTTCTTAAAAGAGTCTTCCGGTTGTTCATTTCAGTCCCCTTTTTTCATCTTTTCTCTTCCTATTTTCATTGTTTTGTATGGCGCATATGTATCTGGTGCCCTTTTGTACCAATATGTATTTGTTTAAATAAATAAATAACAAGGCAGTGAAGCATCGTAAGAAGATGCAGTCCGATGGTAGCTGGTGACCAACGATTGATTCATACGCCATTTGTTCCATCAGGATACTCGAGCCCATGTGCACCATTGGTTTGGAATCAGGGTTTTCCAAATCCCCTAGGTGGACCCTCCGTGTCCGCTAACCTGGTTAAAGCGCTGGATATTCGCTTTTCGTCCTCTCAATTCCGTAAATAACACCCGCGACACGAGAAGGCAGTGAGTAGGACTCCCCTGGCAGAGGCTATATACTCGTGGCCATATGAGAGCATTTGTAGAGGGAGAGCGGACTCTTCACACTCTCGGCCGTACCAGGGCATTTGGGGGCATCTTTGCCAATCGCCTTACATCTAGCCGTAAGATTGCTTACCGAAATCCACAGGCTCTGCTTAATAGATACTTATGATGAACTTTCAGTCTACGAATGTCTTTCAATTTTAGAAGCCATATATCACAGAAATAATGTAAGATCGCCGTACAGTAACAAAGTTGGTACGTTTGGTATAGTTGTTTTAAATAGAGGAAATCAGATAAAAACGGACCTATCGTTAAATGATGGTAGACGCCTTTATCAGTAAAATAGGACAAATATATGATAGAATAAGTTGAGACTAGATAAACTATTTAGTTATTGAGATCAAATACTACTACTAAAAAAAAACAACACTGAGGATACATACTTCCCAAGTTACTAGTATCCAATTACGACTTACAAAACAGGTAAATTCATATCTTTATTAAGAGCAATGACGAATTATCTGTAAGTCACTGTGTCTAATGTGTGTTCATTATTCTTATACAATAGATTACCATGAATTCTAGACTTAAACAAGCAATGGAATAGATAAATATGTTTATGAATATTCGGTTGACGAAAACTCCATTTTGTTTTGCAATAAAGATTATGTGAACAACACTTCGATGATTAATTCAGCTCGGTGTATATACTGGAAAGAATAAGTATCCAATTAATATACCCTTAAATCATCATGGTAAATCAGAATGCGACGAATAGAAATACTTACTAAAGAAACTATTTTTCAGAAGCGGTTTTGTGGAGATTTTAGTATTTTCATAGTTGAAATCATGAGTCAATTGAAGCTAGACCACCATGAAAAACCTGGAAGCACAGGATGGCCGTTTCGTCCTACTATGAAACTACTCAGCAGTGCCCATCCGCGATACCGCCTAATGAGATTCGGACCCAGGACATACCAGTTTCGCTATTTTTCAATACAAATTCACAATAGCACTTCATATATATTAGTATATAATATGAAGTATCAAGTAATTTAAGAAAATCTGTTTGCATTACTAAGAATATTGAAGAATTGAATAAAGACATTTACATTGCAAAATACATTGTAATTGTAAATAAATATTTATTTAATATTTCTTCTAGAAATAAATTGTAATATACAGTGCTATATATAGCATTTCTATACATTTGTTAAATAAAACCCATACATCAACACATATATGGAATAGTATAGTATCCATTGAGTTCCGAATGATTCTCTTTTTCTACATAAAAATAAATTACACTTTTCGTATAGACATAAGCACAATGTCCATGACAGTGGCATATACGAAATATCAAGTTATATACTACAATGTATTATACTATACAAAGTGATATGCTCTACCTTACAAGAATGAAGACTTCTTATGGTCATATCAATGAAAAGTACCAACAAGTATCCGGAATAAAGACTGAAATATACAAAAGAAAATTCATCCGAAATGATAATGAAGCAAAAAAAACGTAAAGTTGAAGAGAAAAATTCTTTCATTTTTTTAAATATTGAAATAGATACAATCAAAATGATGGTATAAAAATTATACATGTTAAAACGTACTACTAAATAATTTATTAAGTAGTATGAAACGATTATCCAAAGAATTTAATGTTCAAGAGAACAATTAAAACGAAATGTAAGGTGTTTAAAAGAAAAAGAAATTATCTAAATATATTTAAAATAATTACTTGGACTATTTGAGCTATAATGTTATAAAATCTTTCAGTTACCCTGCATTTATGACAGTTTCGTTCTACATACCAATAAAAATATTTTTTTAAAAATTACATTAACTGAATTGCGTTATTAATTTACGTGTATACAATGGAAAAAAAGGGATGACAATGTTGGAAACCAATATCCGTACTGTAAAAAAATCTTTATAGTCTCAAATCAATATACGTCAACTATCTTAGAAGAATTTATGTACAATAATGAAAGATTTATTTATTGGTAGAAATAAAAGTATATGTTTATAGAAATATAAATTAACCCATTAAATAATTCATCCATTTATGTTGTAAAACGAATAAAATATAAGTTACATTTTCAAACCCTCTATTTCAATGTGATAGGAGGTTCAACCATCTTATTACTATGAAATCGCCATTTAAGTGTGGTTAGAAAAAAAACACAATAGAATAAATATGCATTATTTTAAGCACATCGACCTTTTAGTTCAGTTTCTAGTTGGAAAAGACGTGTTTTCAATGCTTTGTATTCACAGTATTCTGAACGCATACATAATCGATCTTCTCGCTCCACCTTTTGACCTTTACAAATAAAAGAAAAGGAATATTATGAAAAATCCCTATATATATATATATATATATATATATATATATATATATATATATATATATATATATATATATATATATATATATAAGCGGTATCACATCATTTACTAAATGAATCTATCAATCGTGATTGTATACTTTGGAATGTATCTTAAATTAAGAAATCTTTTTAATTGATTCTATCTTAACTTACAAACTGATTAAGCCGCTTTATCTAAGATTCTGCCGACTTGATGTCGGTGAATGTTCAGTTGAGAATGTCTACTTAAATTTTAATGAATTCATTTGGCAAGAATCTTAAGAATACCATTTTAATGTGATTTTAATTGATAGGAACTTATTATCTACATATTGGAGCTACGAACTACAATGAATCCATATACTTGTGTGAAAATTTACATAAGGGATATAAATTTTTCAGCGAAACATGGAGTTTGTATTATTTGAACTACAGTAAATATTGAATATGATTGTTAGTGAAACTTATTGTCCGACAGGAAACCTGGTGGGCATAAAGATTAAGGAAATAACTGTTAAGAATACTTTGATTTAAAACGAGCATCGGCAGGGAAGCTGTCTACTAAAGGTTTCCCAACAATAAATATACCACATCTGACAGATATTAACAACTTAAGATGGTTCATCTCATAAATGTAAGAATATCAGCTAGAGAATTTTGTATAATAGAAAAACAGAAATTGTTACTTGAATATTTAGTATATATACATGCAAATGAAAAAATTATCGGTAATGACTCAGAAGATAGACTGAATTAATCCGTACATTCACCAAGTCAGTCAGAATTGATTTTGGCATTATTAGGTTATGGAAAACAAAACGACAACAATACACAGTACTAAAGATAGCTTAACTTACCAGTATTTTGAATAAATTCATGTTCAAAATCTTTCAAGGTCTTTTGTAATTGACGTTTTGATTCACGCAAAGTACGCAATGCTGTCTTTAAGTCAGCGGTAGACCAACTTGATAAATCTGATGATGAAATAGCTTGTGATGAGCTGCAATGATAATTGATGACAAATAAAAAGAATAGAATTGATAACAGAAATGTACGATACAGTCTTTGCTGTAAAAAAAGCTCAGATTTCTGATAGATTATAAATTAGGTTCTATTAAAAAACTTAGAAATAAGTGAAAAGGTATTGATTGCATTGATCAAGCCAACATGCCCCTACCAACGAATCACAGGGTTGATTTAAAGAGGTTCCAGGTTGGTTGTGAAAAGTTAGAAACAATCGCAGATGCAAGCTACAGAAATGGAAACAATTACGCCTAAAAACTATATGAATAGAAGTGAGTCAGTCAGTCACAACGTAGAAATTTGTACGTACGTACATCAGTTCGAGTTGTCATACCACATTAGCACAGAGATGTACTTGTCGATTCAAATCCCATAGTGGTAGAAATAGTAAGAGTATAAGCATTATGTGAAAGATTAGGGTTTGAAGATGTTATTGAAGGAGTATAATACAGTGAAATAAATTTGAAAAGAGAAAGAGGATAGGGAAAAGAAGAACTCAGAAGAAGTAAAACTGCATAGTATTACCGGCAAAGTACAAACAGTGTAAAAAAAAATCATGTATCGATACGCTATTACATGACATAGAATATAAATCCGTGAAAATACAAAATGCTATTAATTTGACTACAATCGAATAGTTCACAAAAACAGCACAAACAAACAAACTATTAAAAAGTAGATGGTTCAAACATTGAAGACTGCCACTCACTAACAAATTGTGTTATTGTAATGATATTTACAGATTTTATTTTATGGTTGTAAACTCACTCCGTGTATTTGTCATTAGGTAACATAGTATTTATAGCATTTTCTGAGGTGTCTAGAAGACGACGACGATTTTTCATAAGAGCAGTAGTATTAGTACTTAACGGAACTTCATTTGAAATATTGGCTTGCATAATTTTCGGACTGGAAAATGAAGATGATAATGGTGGAGGTGAAAAATATGGTGCTTTAGCACCGATGAAATTTTCTTGACGAATAGGCGAGGAAAATCCACTTGTAAGTCTATTTGAGCGTGTCACTGAATCAAACAATCTAGTTGACATATGTGTTGATGTAGATAACGCATTTTCTACAGGAGGATGGTGGTTTGTCTCATTAAAGAATTGAGAATGACAATTAAAAGTATTTACATGATAGTTATGAATGGCATTGTCTTGACTTCTTTTACTCAAGCCAATTGTTCCAACTAAAGAGACGAAAAAATACAAAGAACAAACTGATTTATTCACGGGTGAGAACATACTGGTCAAAGCGAATGCCTAATTCATCTCCAAAATATACATTACTCTATAAATAATTAGGTAGTTCAGTTTCCATAAATGTACTTGACAGACTTCCACAACGAAAACAGTTAGTTTTCATTTGAACGGTCATGTTTAATATTGAATAATTGGTTTGATACAAAGCTCAGTGCAGCCTATTTTCTTCAGCGCTTCATGAAAATGATGTGGCGAATAAAAAGAAGTTAGCCATGAACAAACCAAGTTAAATTTCTACCGGAAAATCATTATAAACACAAGACTTCAATGGTAATCTTTTGTCAGAATGAGGGTTTGTGGAAATTTTAGTAACTTAATGGCTGAACTTAATGGTTGCAATTTAATGGCTGAAGTTGATTTAAGCTAGACCGCCCTGGAAAATATAGAATCATTGGACGGCTGCTTCGTCCTAGTAATTTTTTGTTTTCATTTTTACATTATGGTAAATCCAGTCGATGTATAATACTGGTATATGGAGAAAGTTCCCACAAACCAATGGTATACACGACCTTACTATGTTAAAACAAACAGCTGCATCAAAACAGAACAGATGAAAAATACACCATATAATAATAGATATACTTACACCATTCATTATTATTACCACATGGTACTTTACTATTTCTATCACTGGTACGTTTTGCATCACAATCTAATTCATTGTACTTCAGATCAACATTTGAATCCAAATTGAAAGACTGCTTGTTAAAAGCGAAATTATTTTTATTCTGTTTCTCATCAACATACGCTGGTCTTACATTTGGATTGAATAACCCCGTAGAGTTAGGATTAAAGTTATGTCTGATTGTTGATGGAATTGATGTAACAACAGTGGGTTGTTTTCGAGTTACATCCAATCTATCATTAACATGATTATTATTACTAAGAGTAGATTGTGGTGAAGTAATCGGAGAATATATAGGCATATTAAATGATGCTGAAGTGGGTAAAGACATCACAGATGGAACAGGTAGGTTGTTATCAGATATGGATGAGACTGGATTATATAATCTGTTAATAGATTGCAAACTGGAATAAGGAACAGGATTAATTGATTTAAATGAAGCAATACTATTGCTAGCTGTACCAGTAGAATGAACAGATTTTAGTTGTATATTACTATCATTGATTACCGGCATTATATTTGGTGATAGTATTGATCGCCGTCTCATTGGATCATCAATCGATGGCACAGATGACTGAAGTTCTGTATCACTATTTTCTTCTGTGTGTTCAGCAATGTTCAAATTATTATTAGATTGTAAACAATTCAATAAACGTTTGACACTACGATATCTATCATATAATGGTCTCATTGTTATACGATCTTGATGTTCTTTCGGTCGTCCATGGAGATTTTCAAAATATAATAAGGCCTTTTGTAAGGCGAGCTTTTCTGCTGCAATCTATAAAAAAAAGGTTAACAAACAATGAGCGTGAAAATAAGGAAATGATAAAATTTTTATTAATTGATTAGCTTAATATGAACAAAAAAATGATAATAAAACCGTATATATTATAAAAAAATAATGTAAAATTTCGTAGAACACTGAGCTAGCTAGCTACTGAAATTCATAAAATTACAAGTCAATGTAGACCTTTTATTTATTTATTTATTTGAACACAGAAATATTGGTACAAAATGGCACCAGATATATATGCGCCACACAAATCTCTTTTCGTTTGTGTGAGGGTTTGTGATACTGCCCAGGTGCACAAACCGAACCAGGTGGTTTTCTTAGGGGATCACATCCGGAGTCTCTAACCTAAAGGTCTGATACACAAGGCAGCGGAGCATCGTAAGGAGATGCAGTCCCATAGTAGTCGGTGACCAACAGTAGGTTCATACACCATTTGTTCCCTTAGGATACTGGGGCCAATGTGCACCATTGGTGTGGAATCAGGGTTTTCCAACTCCCCAAGGTGAACTTTTTGTATCCATCAACCCGGTTGAAGCGCCGCACATTCGCTTTTCTTCCTAACATTATAAATATTGTTTAATGAATGAAATCTGATCAATTTAGAAGTTTCATCACTGTCAACAATAACGTATAACATTTTGTATTTACTAAAGTCGATCATCAATCCTTTAAAAATATGCTAATTGTTTTCTATGCTTCAATACATAAGCCCAGTATTGCAAACATGACAGAAAATTATGTAATAATAAAAAGACCTTTTATTTACCAACATACAAGATAACTAATTTTTGTTTAAGGCTTAAGTATCATGTCACAAGCAGTTGTAATAGGAAGTAGATACTCTTAAACAAAACATTAGCAGCAGTAAATTAAGTTTAACAGCATGGATTAGTTTGTTATATTAGGTTGATTAATCAAAAAAAGAACTATTTATAACTATCTACAGGTTGAGAATATTTATTATTATGTATGTATTTTGTATGTTACATTATAAACTAGAAATTGAAGTGGTTTATTAATTCATTAGTTAAGATATTATTTTATAGAACAAAGTGGATATGAATCACTGACAAACTGGAAAAAGATTAATGAACGTTGAAAGATATTCAAAAGATAACTGCTACCCACAAAAGCTTAATGATAAGTGCTGGAAAAACAAGAGATAAATCGTAAGCAACAAAGTCTGTAGAAGAATTCATCTTATGGCATCTCAATTTTGAAGGTAATAATGTTGTAAAGACAAATAGAAGTTTAACACTATGTTACCCAGAAGTTTCACTACAGTTAAGGTATTAACTCTGTCTATAAAACAACATGTACCACTGCACAAGCAAAAGTAAACAAGTATTCCTTTCGTGTTACCGCCGTAAGTATGAATTTACAGGGACCTATCATAGAAAGGATGATTTATCTCAGACATTTTAAATATGTTCCAAAACGCTTTGGTTTATGTACATTAGGAAACAATCTTCAATTTTTCTTAGCCTTGATAACATGAATTATATATGATACTTTTTTAGAAAACTCTTTCGTATGTTCACAACATTGAGTCATCCTCCTTACAACTTACTTCAAACTAACTAATATAGGTATTTTTAATCTATGCGAATAATTTCGATTTTTTCAATATTAAAAATTGTAAGCAGTTGATTAGAACGTTACAATCTAAAATGAATTCATATTATCCTATCCAAATCTCCGTTATTGTGTACTTCAAAATATGTACTTGAGAATATGATGGTAACATTATCGTTGTGATGAGATTATAATTTATGGACGATCTTTGGGAGACGCCAGAGTGACCTTGAGAGTGTCCACGTAATAACTAGGATCAAATGAGGGTTGTAAACTTGTGTGAGGAGTTCAAACTATGATTTACAGTTCATGGTTAAGGTTAGGAATTATATTTAGGGTTTTCATCACCAACTGACATCAGCTATAATCCCAAAACTCTACTTAGCTAAATGGGTGAGTGAATTTTGCGCCAGAATCCAAGACCTCTTTTCTCATACCTGAATGGTTCTTCCATAAATTATAGTCTTACCATCCTTGTATTGAACCTTTAGCAAAAGAAATAACAGTATTGAAATCAAGTTAAATGATTTCTAAAACTAATTTTCTGTTGGGCCGGCTTCCGAGAAGCACAACGGAGCCTTTGGAGGCCCTAAAGGGACCGAAGAGTTTTCACCCAGTCAGAACCTGATAGAATTTTCTAGGATACCCACGTGGTATACTATGATTGGACAGTGACCTAACGTGCATGCAGATTGGATGAATTATAATGATGTTATAGCTAACGCTGATATTTATGAATACCCATGATTTTCTGTACACTTTTTATTCTTACCGAGAAATCACTTCTCCTGCCTTCTGATTTACGACAGTAAGGGTCCTATACGTTCGAGTGCCGTTGGTTGCATATCGTGTTATGCTTTCGTCAAGTAGTGGAATTATCATTTTCATAAATATAAAAAGTTCATAAGCTGAGTACTATTTTAAGTAGTACATGTACATACGCTCTAAAATATCTCAATATGTAAGACTAGCCTAAACAAAGGGATTAGATAAATAACAAAACTTTACATCAGGGCGAAATTGATGGAGCGAAAAAAAGTAATGTGGAAATATGTTTTGACAAATTTCATTGTGAATTATAAAAATATAATACTTGAGTCAAACAAAAATAAAAAATAAATTACCTGTTTTGGAGTCATTAAATGAAGATCCTCAGGACGATTTGCAATCATACGCTTTTCAGTTAGTCGCTTTGAAAGCAGTAAAAATGTACTTTCTATAGTTGGTCTATTAGAATCGAACTGTCTGGATAAGTTTTCATTTCCAACTTTATTATTGGGTAGGATTGAATGTTTAGAAGAAAACGTACTGTTTGATGATCGAAGTTCTATAATGACAATGAATAAAAGATTCGTTTTTCAAAACAAACTGCTGCAAATTATAAATAATATATGATGATAATATAATGAGTATGTGAAAGGTAGTAATGTGAAATGAAATACTTCATGGATATTTTTTGGCTGTCTACTGAGCAGTTTCGAGATAAAAATTTACTAGTCAAGTGATTAGAAACAGTGATCTATATTAAGCAAAGATGGATAGTGGCTAGCAGTGGAATCCAGTTTGATGCGCGTTTCGTTCTATTTGGGACTCGTCAGCTGGATGAAAATAACTAATCTCTGAAATAGACTTCTTTTTTGAACAATTTGTATAAATCCTTATATGACACATATCTTTACAATTCATAGATTGAAAAAAACTTACCTCTAGTATAATCATTTACTTCGTTATCCATCTTAGGAAAAGATTGTTTTTCTGAATAAGCAGAGGACGTTATTTTCTCATTTATACTTCCATTGTGAATATTATTATTATTGATAGAATTAGTTATGTTTTTTTGAGTTTTAATTGAATAATCATCATATGTATTATATGCCGAAGAATATCCGTTCTGACCTATGATTGAAGAAAAAGTACCATCTGAAATTTTCCCTGATAATTTGATTTGTCTCATCGTTTCTTGTACTTCAGACAATTGACGTAATAATTCAGCGATCTGTAATCAGAAAATTAAGGAAACAGTATATTGTATGGAGGTATGCTATAAAATCACTGACCTAACATTGAAATATTGTTACACTAAAATAAAACTTTTATCAAGATAAATTGACGATAAACTGAATTTCAGTGGAAATAATTTTATTATGGCAATTATATCAGCAAATGATATCCATGAGTTATCAGATAAACAAACTGAATAGCCTTCATCTCCATAAAAAGCCGGTTATTTGATGGTTATTATCAGAAGGGGTTCTGTGGAGATTTCAGTATTTTCATAGTTGAAAGCATGAGTCAATTTAAGCTAGACCACCAAGGAAAACCTGGAAGCACTGGATGGCCATTTCGTCCTATTGTGAGACTCCTCAGTAGTGCACAATGATCAGTGGAGTTCAAACCACGTCTGTTGTGAGATAGGAACTCATTGAAGACAATTGGTGAACGGTTGCTCAACTTCGTAGATTGGTTGGAGTTATACATAAACACGATCGGATGCCTGCCTGCTCGATGGTCTAACGGTTAAGTGCTCTGGCGAGAGACTGGTAGGTTCTGGGTTCGAATTTCGCGAGGCGAGGTAGTGGATGCGCACTGCTGAGGAGTCCCACAATAGGACTAAACGGCCGTCCACTGCTTACAGGATTTCCTTAGTGGTCTAGCTTCAACTGACTCATGCTTTCAACTATTTGATGATTGTTTGGATGAATTAATATTATTGATCAGTAAAAGTACCAAATGACTCATGATTATAAGATAGAGAATTAAACGGAAGCTTCAAACGTTACCACATGCACCAAGATATTTATGTTACACTACAACGTATTAATAATGCATGACAGCTTAGAACACCTTCTGTAGCAATTTCAAAAGTAAAGTGAATTCTCTCATTTTTTTCAGAATTTTCATTAAAACCGACTCTACTAAGTATAACTCTAATATTCATGGTTACTTTTTCAGGATGTTGTCAACAATATAAAAACATCTGAACCTGATTTTATGGTTTAAGTTAAAACAGTGGATAAAATTGCAAAGTAAGTTGAAAAAACAGATTCAAGACTAGCGGTCCAAAAGTAGATGACCATTTTATTAACGAATCTCAACAAAAAAAATGGTTTCAGCTTAACATCCCCAGATAGTTTCACAGTCCATATACAGATTATAAAAAGCTAGAATACATGTATGTGACCAAATATACTACATGAATCCTCTCATACAAGCTCATGAGATCACTCACTGTTATAATTAAGGTACAACAAGAGAGCACAAAGCATATGAACATAAAGCGGCTTTGAAATATAAGCTGTCATTAAAAAAAAAATTATATGTGAGGAGTGTTGGCGCAAGCCTTCAATTTTAATGACTTTTGACAGCTACATATATTTAAAATTAGTTGTCGTCTTCTAATTTTATTATATTATATTATATTATTTGTCACCGTTAATTAAGAAATATGATTCTTGGAATACTGGAGACCACTATTTAAATAATGAAGACATCTTGATTGATTCGTTTTATTGGTTTGAACAAGTATTACACCACAACAGTACTTACACAATTTTCTGATGTTAATATACAGTTGTAGAATAGTCACTGACTAATTCATCCCAAATTTATCCATAATGTTATATAGATCATATAAATAAGAAATATTGACTGAGACTACAGTGATGATACAAAATCAAAGCTATTGGCAATTTTACAGATAGTTTCGTTTACGTTCTACACAAAAAACAAGATATGTACTAAGAGAAATGAAATATTTCGAAAGATATGTTTCATAGTGAAATCTATCACTTCATATCTGTACTCTAGTTTTTTTGTCACATAATTCGCCATATCTTGTTCCATTACAATGTATGACACATTGCTCAGTAAACTACCTGAATCCCGTATTTTCACTAACAGATACATATAATAATACTATCATTGAAATCATGAATTGATCCAAGTTAAACAACCGTTGAAAACCTACAAGCAATGGACGGCCGTTTCATCCTAGTATGAAGCTCCTCGGAAGTGAGCAACCACGAACTCTCACGAGGAAATCAAACTCAGGACCTTTGGTCACATGCGAGAACCCTTAACGGTTGAAGATATACTGGGACGAAAAGGCCATTCCATGCTTTCACGTTTTCAATAATGCTTTAACATAGATCGGTTTGTGACTCGATAATAATAATAATAATTTAATATAAAATATACAAAAATGAATAAAATCTAACCTTTGGATTAGAATATTTATCTGCATTAGTTGGCTTCCGTCCATAATCATGTTCAAATTGTTTTTCATATTCACGTAAACGAGATTTAAAGTTATGTAAGTAATAAGCTAATCTATTGAGAATTTGATCGTTCGGTTCATTAGGCCGATCTGTAGTTGACGGTAATTTCGGATAATTAGTTTCAGAATTTTTCAAATTTGCTTGACTCTGTAAATAAAAACAAAAGGTATATGATCAACTTCAAGTTGAAAATAAAACAAATACCATAAAATCTGAATTATGAAAACAAGCATAAGATAGATTCACACAACTTCAGAGCTTCTCATCAGCTGTAAACAACTTACAATTACAAACACAACAAAATAACAATAAACAAAAGGTCTAGTAAACTTAAATTGATGCATTTGAAATTGTTATTCAAAAATGTAACAGATAAATATCGTTGGACAAGAATAAGACACAAATTATGTAATTAAAGATAGTTAAGATTGACATGTAACTAATAAGTTGAAAAGTAATAATCTAGAGCAAAGAAGATCATCTTGTGGTTACTAATGATTATAAATAACAAAGAAAACAAATTATATAAGCGTAAAAATATAATAAATGATTCCATAATTACTGGAAGCAATTAAAACCAAGTTAACATGAGAATATTAATAACATTATGTAAGAGATAAAGAGTTATTTGATCATAGTAATAATCGGGATGGTAAAGCAAGGCTTATCATACTTTAGTTAAGGAATGTTTGGTAATCATCGTTTTTTCGAAACGGATTGAAATTAGTGTTGATTATTTGTTAGAGAAACGTTCATATTATTTTTCTGAACATACTTCAGGAAACCCATGTCTAACAGACATCAATATCTTAATAAGTGCAGCTGTCAGGCACCTGATGGATAGTTACTATAATTCAAGCATTCAAATCAATTGACAAACAAACAAACAACGTCAATATTTGGCATGTGTTGAAAATACATCTCAATTTCATCAATCGGAGCACCTCAAACAACAAACAAAAACTTACTTCTACGTAAACATGAATATATAAAAACATACTTTGAAAAAAAAATAGTTTCAAGAACTCAGATTATTCAGATCAATAACCAACACGGGAGAAAGTATATAACCATTTCGATTTTGTAAATAAGATTCAGGAAACGAAAGTACATTATTAAATACTCATTCATTAATAAAACCGAACAATTTTCAGGGTATTATTAAGGCAATAGTGTTTGTTAGCGGTCAGAAATAAGTGTTTTAACACGTGATACGTTTTTTTCATCTATATGCTAATTTAGCATTTAAATGACCTTAAATTGCTGCTTTGATGATTTAAACACACTTCTAACAAATAATTAAGTATTCTAAGTTATGTAATCACATGTTTATTGATATGACTTTGGAATTTACTCAATCGATAACACTCACAATGAACGAAAACAATGTTACGCAACCCTAAAATATTCTTTACAACACCTCTACAAAACTTTCGAACTATTTAAAACAAGAATTTCGAAAGCTTCCCCATATTTCTTGTGTTTTATTTATTTATTTAAACACATAAATATTGGTACAAAGGAGCACCAGATATATATACGTCACACAAATCGAATGAGATTTGTGTGAGGGCTGTGATACTACCTAGGTGCCCAAACCGAAGCAGGTGGTTTTCTTAGGGGGCCACAACCGGAGCCATCGACCTAAAGATCTGATCCACAAGGAAGGGGAGCATTGTGAGGAGATACAGTCCCAACGATTGATTCATAAACCATTTGTTCGCTAAGGACACTGGAGCCCATGTGCACCATTGGTTTCGAATCAGGGTTTTCCAACTCCCCTAGGTGGACTCGCCTTGTCTACCAACCCGAACATTCGCTTTTCGTCCTCTCAATTTCGTAAACAACACCCCTGCCACGAGAAGGCAGTGAGTACGACTTCCCTGGCAGAGGCTATGTACTCGTGGCCATGTGAGAGCATTTCGGGAAGGAGAGCAGACTCTCCCCACTCTAGGCCGTACCAGGGCATTTGGGGGCTTGTGTACAGTACATTTGTAATTAAACCAAGTTGAAAAATCAATTTACTAGTTGTGTTATATATTAAATTGAATCTTTTCTTTTCTTTACGCAAATAATTGACATTTGAACACAATAATGATTTCTTTATTAAAATTGATATTGGAAAGGATATGATTTCTAAAGCTCGGTTAATAAAAGGATTTCTGCTAACTGAACACAAAATATACAACAATTTTTACGATAATTCGACAGAATCTGACTAATAAACTCGAGAAAACTATGGATAGTTCTGCTAGTTGAAATAATTTAAGCTGTTCATAATCAACTACACAAACGCAATATTTTGTTAATTGATCAGAAGCACTATCCCAAAACGTTTGGATGATATTCTGATGGGTATTAAAGTTTATTCGTTTGATTATTTACTTAAAATTCCTTAAGATGGATGAAAACTAAGCTTCAGTGTTTCCGCGCAAGTGTCAGGTATTAGTGAGCTATTTTCAGGATCATAGCATTGCTATTATGTAGTAAATACTATGTGTTAAACGTCAATGCTCGTAATGTGCAAGCTTAATATTTACATTTTATCAAGACTATTTTGTTGGATTCTTGATAATTTAGTTCAATCTTCAAATTTTTTTAAACGGACTCTAATCGCGTTTATCAAGGAAACTAAACATCAAACAAACATCAATCACTAGCGAAGTATCGATTAGTAAATATAGAGAAAACATTTTTTTACTAATTGCATTAATAAATCAACCTGTTCGAGTTGGAGCAGCTAATGATGGCTTCTGTCAACTACTTATGGGGCTAAAAGCGCACTGATTTTCGAATAATGAGTAATGAATAGCTTCATGAGTAGCTGAATACGGAAGACAGTATGGAGCAGAAATGTACAGGTTGATGCTTCCTAGTAGCCTGCATGTATTATGATACAACACTTTAACAATGCCTCCAAAACCTGGGATCTCAATTTAAACGTTTTCTCTAGATTAAATGGTTTAATTGAGAAGTTCACATTTTTATTCTGGACATCATCAACGCCTACTTCATATACAAGTAAAAATAAATCTCAAAGATACTATTAACTCATGACTCGATTACAAAACAGGAGTGAATAATAAAATTAAACATAACAACACGTAAAACTTACGACAGAATTTGTTTTAGGTACATTGACGTCTGAATAATCTGATTTTGAAATTTGATTTATACCAATTGAACTTTGATTAAAATTATTCACCGTATCTATGGTATCATACACTTTAAAATCTGGTAATCGTTCCTGAAATAAATGCTCTTGTATGCATGATCGAATAGCTATTTCTAAGTATGTTGAAATTATATCACATGAAGATGATTTGCGTTTAAAGTGATTATCAGTAGTATCGACAATATCGTTGGTCTTCGCCAGTTCTGGCACAGCCTTATTTGCTTTAGTTGTCGTTGTTGCAGCTGGAGTTGTTGAAGCTTTATTACCAATCTGTGGAACATCGCATGTATTTGTAATATGTGTTAGCGTGTGATTTGTCTCAACTTTTGTTGTCAACTGAGTAAGATTATCAGTATCAACATCATCTTCATTATTGCGAGACTTTACATTAGATAAGCTGTCAGAAGTGATATATCTATGATATCCAACAAAAAAACACAGCGATTTCAGGTGTACTCTAGCGGTAACTATTAAGATATTCAGCAAAAAGATAGATATAAATTTGCGTATAGTTTAGTTACAGACTGAATTAAACTAGACAAACAATTGGAATCAATGATCCATTGACGGCTTGTGCATTCTAGTGTAAAATTTCGCAGCGGTGTGCACCACCAACTCCTTTATAGATTGAACTCCAAATCTTCAGGCCTTGCAGTGAGCGAGCTACTTTTAAGTTTATACTGATAAATAGGGGTAGATTAAATGATAATGATGAAATCATTCAAAACATAAAAATCAACGACTGGAGTGCGGTAGAATTACAGTAAAATTATCTAAGTTATGGCATAAATCCACGTTTTAAGTGGTTAAATTTATATCCTTACGCTGTGTTTATTATCGTTTACAAAAAGCCAATAGACTGGATTCCATTGACAATATAGATTGACTTCAGTTAGACAGTAGTTAGTCATAAGAAGTACAGAATCTGGCGCACATGAGCATCAGTTCAAATATCCACAACACCTTATCAGTACAGCAACGTGAGATTGTCAAGATAATTCGCAGAGTAACACAGACATTGACATTATCAGTGGTAACATAAAAGATCGGATATAGATTATGTGGTTAGAAAATATTGACCGTTGGTATATGGTTATGGAGATGGTTTAATTTATCGCAGATTTAAACTAGACAACCATTGAGAACCTGAAAGGATTAAACAAACGTTTCGTCCTATTGTGCAACTTGTCCGTTGTGAGCTTCCAAGACCCTTCAACCGAGAATCAAGCCCAAAAATATGGTCGCACAATATCGTGGATTGATTGAAATTAGACTTATACATCATTGAATCCCGGCACAATGGTTGATTAAAGGTCCAACCAGACAGTCTGCACCTACCAACATGGCTTAGTTGCATTGTCAGTGAATTTATGAACTGATGACACTAAATGGTTTTGCTACCCTTATTTTTTTTTAAATCTACTCCTGTATCATCAAATATCGTGAGCCGAATGAGGTGGTTGGTTGGAAATAATACACACTCCGACCACTTCAGTTAATAAAGATTTACTACCTCACCAACTGACTTGATATCTTCACCAAATGTTTGAGTCTAACCTCAGCACTGATCACTCAATAGTCCCAAAAATCGCAACCATTTATTTACAGACATCAGATTAAGAAGTGAAGAGAGAAATAACCAAATAATCAATAGGGTTATTGAGTTATCCGATCACTAACTATGATAACATTACAAATATTGTCCGGAGAAATTGTTCAAATATAGATTAAAAAGTAACTTCTGATAGATTTAATCATCAAAGGAAAATTTTAAGTGTATCCATTGAAGTGAATTAAAAGAACAAAAAATCTTAACGGTTTTAAACTACTACATTGAAATGGACTAAAAAATTAATACAATCAAAAGATGAAGATAGTTTTTAAAACAGAAACCTAATGTCAGATTAACCATTATTATTTGTGATTATCAAGTTAACGGCTATGCAGACAATACGGATTTAACCTAGAAACGAAACATATGAACATACAAATAATTGAACTCATTAAAAACAATCACATATCTACGTACTTGACTTTCTAACATAATTGAGTTGTCTGAACTACTAGTGATACTCTAAACGACTTTCCGAATAGGAGACAATGAACTGGAGTAAAGGTCTGTGTTCAACAACTTTAACCGAAAAAATCAATGATCCATAGTGAAAATCATACATAGTTTCAGAAACAAAATAATAAACTCAGTAGTGGAATGAAAGTTATGAAATATGTATGAGCGTCAAATTATGTTTATTCGATTTGAATAAGACATTAGGTAGCCCACTTTGATTTCATTAATGAGACTTTTTAAAATACCGTGTTGATACATTTCTGAATCAACGTGAAAGCGCACACATAAATACACAATAAGTGTATATAATACAACCCTGAAAAAATAAAACAGAGTGAATGATAATAATTCAACCCTGTTGACGCCACTGAATAGCAAAATATTAGTAATTAAAAAATACCCAAACCCATAAGTATGTGTCAACAAAATGGGTCATATTCTATGGACTTTGTATTACAAGTTTTCATTTCAAAAGTAATCAATTTGTACTGTAATTGGTTGTGGTTGTTAAGTGAGAAACGACAAGATCTGGAGAATTACAATCAACCCTCTACTAATGCCATACGTAAATCAAACTAATTAGAAAATAGGTAAGATGGTTTGACTAATAATAACAATGCTAAAATTAAGTAGATCAATTTATAAGTTGATGATTAGATTAATGAAAGCAACATGATTGTATTAAAATAAGATAGCATTTGTTTGTTTAGTGAATAAATCACATTTACAATGCTAGAAATAAAAAACGAAACACTTAACTTCAAAAACGTTCTATAGTTATTCTTTGATCATTATCATTATAGCATAAAATTACCGGCTAATTGAAGCTGTCAACCAGAGGAATTACTAACTTATTATTAAAACGAAAAAAGTGACGAAAAGTATGTAAGGTATTGCATATTCTGACGTATTCCAAATCTTGCTCTACTAACTTCCAGTTTCAATTTTCAGGCTATATTAACCTTACGCTTGTGTTATTACTTTCATTATTAAATGTAAGTGATTACTCAGTAATCAACTCACTTTGTTCCTGTTTCTCTTTTATGAAAGATCCTTTTACTTGCTCTCACCACAGAATATACTTTCAGGCTAAACGCAAACCAATTAATATTTTCACCTCATCAGAGGATTTATTCCTAGGGTAATTCCAGTCATCTAGTTAAGTCGCACACACTAAGCGAACCTCTAAAGCTTGATTTCTTACGTATCAGTTTACACTAATTCATATAAACTCAAATATAATACCATAGACTATAACAGTATGTTTCTTTGATCTCGAAAGACATAAAGAGGAACAAGAGATGTATGTGCTATACCATATCATACGATTAAAAATATTAAATCGGATAGGAATTTTAAATATATATATACCAAGAGAATTATTAACAATATGTATACATAAAATGGTAAACCCTTAAAATAACTTAATTGACTTGAAAAATGATATGTATAGTAAATCGACAAGTCTATTGTTACACTCTCTTAAAACTACAAGAATTAAGATATGATAAATGTGGAATATAAATCGACTGGCAAACATTGTTTTACACAAAGTATATACATTAAAACTGGATTTATTATTTACGTCATCAAAGAACTATGATGGCTTAAATGACCCATGAGATTACGGAGATCAATGAAATGCTTGAATTGATTAATTACTCAAAGGATAAACAACGCTTGATAGTTCAACCGATTAGATTACAAATATAAGAAAAACTAGATAATTAACTGAATTCAAGAATTAAAAAGAAAAATTTTATTTACAAGCAAAATATAAGAACAAATTTAGTGTGATTACGAATCATTGGTTAATAAATGAATAATGAACGATAAAAATGAAGGGATCAAGAAACGGTTAATTATAGCACAAATCAGTAGTCATTTGTGAGAATAATGTTGACTTAACATTGATTATAAACTTGATAATGGCTAGCAGTGAAAATGTTTCATTCTAGTGAAGATTTATTGGCTGGATAAAAACTTATCTCATATATTTATTATCTTCATAACTCATATCAACGTGATCACAGACCCATCTTAAAGGGAACAAAATATCTATTCTTAATTTGATTAACAGACAAGTATAAAGTATAAAGTTAAAATGTAACTACAGACAACATCAAGGTATCCTTTAATTAAGTGAATAGGTCAACAGCGGAAATAATGATATTTTAACAGTAAACAAGTTCAACAATGTAAGCCATCAAGAATTATTGAAAATTTCACTTCATAATACAGACATGATATGCATATATACCGTACATTTAACAATACATATAATTTTCTTTTAGGAATCAATAAGTGACAGTTGAGAATCATGCGAAATACAGAGTATTATTCAATGTCCCTAAAGAATATCAAATTTTTTTAACTTGATTGAAGAAAAACAATTTCAGCTGACTAAATCTTGGTATTAAAAAAAATAAATTTACACTGCAACACAAACATAGTACCAATAAAGATTCTTTTTCGTATTAAACAGATAGACTTTATTCCTTATGGCAACAATAAGTTTTTACGTTGGATACAATGTTCAAACCACAGGGTAAGCACTTTTAAATCGTTTAAAGTAAAAAGAGTTTAAAATTATTTGATTATTTAAAGTCAACTCTAAAGTTAGATCGATAGTAAATCAATTAAAGTATAGACAATCGTGTATACCAAAATACGAGTCATAACTAAGATATGAAATATAAAGGGGCAGGGTGTCGGGTTCTCAATTGTTTAGTAATTTATTAATTGAGACTTATATTATTCAAGTTGCTAAATTTACTAAAACATAATTTTTCCAAATATTGGGACAAAACTACTTCACTCTTGTATTTTATGAACAACAGTATAACATAACTTGTATTGTTTGTCATAAATTCCCAGCTCAGTGATTGCAACGAATAAGGGGATAAAGTAAACTTTAGTGATGAGTATTAACTGTTGATGTGGGCTTTTTATTCATCTTAGAAGAATTTGAAATATCGAACAGACAGTGATCTCCAAGTACACAGCGTACATCAAGGTTGTATGGTGAGTTAATGTGAATTTATAAGTGAAAATTGTGTATGATATAAGAATTATGCACTGAATAAAACCTAAACCCCCAGGCAATTAGCAATTTGATCATTTTAATCACTGATAAATATTGTAAGTGTAGGGTTTCATAGATTGCTGAGCCTCACAACCAAATACTTACAATTATCGTGTGCTCACTAGTGACTAGCTTCGAGAGGACATTTCCAGAGTTCTGGTAAGAAGCCGTGAGCAGTGGAGTTTAATCCGTGTCAGGTGTGAGATAGTTACCTACCAAAGACAGTGAAAGATCGTCGTGTAGTACCTTGTATTAATTGAAA